TGCCTCCCAAAAAATGGTGCCACGCGCAGAGTCGTCAATAATCCTTCCGGGTGGTGCCCACTCAGTCGCTGCAGTAGGAATCGATTTAGGCACATCTAACGCATCGATGATGGCTTCGGGCTTGGGTGCGGAACCTATCACGCGAGAACCATCATCGAGGATTGGTGATGCCATGCGGGCGTAGCCAAAATACTCGCCCGACTTGTTCGCAGAAAAAATGAGATACACATTTTGAGCAGACTGTCTTGCGTCAGTTACACGTAGTGAATTGTAACCAAGCACAACTCACCTGGAAGGCTTTGTTCAGGATGTCTTCATTGTGAGACTGGGTAGCCCAAATCCCGTTCCGTACGCTGAGCTCCAGATCTTGGAGGGTGAGGCTCTTGACAATGAAGTATTTGTTCGCAACATCAGCAGAGGGCTTCTCGCCGTCAATGGCTTTCTGAACAGGCGGCTCGACTGCGCCTCCTGCAAGATCATCAGGGGTACTGTCCTGGGCTGGTGTTTCTGGTCGAGAAGTGTACTTCTGCTGGTCTATCATAGCTGAAGGTGCCGTAGGGACACCTGACGCTGGGGCTGAACTGCGTCGAAGGCGACAGACTAGTCGTACGCCATTGAAGCGTGAATCGTGGAATCGATGCATTGCAGCCGTACAAGACTCCTCTGTACGATAGTTGACAAAGGCACAGTTGCTCTTGGAAATCAAGAACAGGCTCTCAATGTCTTTTGTAGCATCGCGGGAGAAATGGTCCTTCAGAGCAACTACCGTAGTTCCAGGAGGAAGGTTTCCAACCCAAAGTGCGTGTCCAGACTGTTTGGGTTTTCGCGGCGGTCCACGGGGAATCGAACTTATAGGTCCCGAGCGAAGTATTCCTACACGAGCAATTAGCTTTCGTGTTCTTGGAAATGGCGGTACCACACAAACGGATAGGAGAATCCTGCAGACCTACCGGATGACGATGTCAACTGGGTGCCATAGGGAGACGTAAAGGTGGCTGGGTCGCCTTGGAAGCTTGCTGTAGACATCCGAGAGCCTGAGAAGTTGCCATCAATATGCGAATGATCTGCTGTCTGTCCCTGCATACCAGTGTTTGAAAAACTTGCTCTTCTACCGTACATTGCTTGGCCTTGGCCTTGGGGAGCTTGTGCTGCGAACCCCGGACTGAAGTGCCCCTGGGGGCCACATGGCATTGGGCAATACATATAGTGCGAGGCTTGTTGGTAGTGTTGGTATGGCGCTTGCATCGGCGCCGCACCGGCTGAACGAGACTGGTTGGTGGTAAAAGAAGGGTAGGCGCTGTACTGAGAGCCATGCTGGAGCATGAAGGATTGTTGGTGCATGCCCATAGGAAAATTAGGTCCATATGGCGAGTGTGATGGCATGTTGCCTGGCATTTGCAAGCTGTGGCCAAGTTGATACGCCAGGGCCGATGTCGATGCGCCTGAAAGTGAGCGTGGTACTGTCGGAGCGTTGAGTGAGGAATCATCGCCAGCGCTCAAGTCCGGCAACGTTCCAGTCATTGCGCTCATGTTAAGCGAAGATGTGTTGTGTTCTTGGGGTTGATAGTGTCCGGTCGGATGCGCGGCTGAGCGGAAGTCTTGTCGATGCTGTCCTTGAGGGAGAGCGCTGAGCTGAGAGTAAAACGGAGAGTTTGTGTCGGGTTTTGTAAAAGGGGGGTTTCCATCACGCGCAAAGGCAGTCGTAGGATTATCCATGGCTTGAGGCCGCGGGCCAGGTGGTAAGTCGCCCATGTGCTGTTCGTAAACGACCGGAAGAGGCACCCACTGTTGGACCCAAACGAAAGCCATGTTAGTCCATGTTACACTTAGAAAAAAGGAACTCTAGGAAAACGAATGTGTAAATGCCCAGTGCCACACCAACTCGTAAAGGTAGAGCACGACATACCTAGTTCTATATCAACCAGCCTTGGTGAGATGTGGCAATCCGGGGACGCTAGATACCGAGAGCAAGTCGCTTTCTGGGGGAAATGGTAATGGTGATGTGACAGCGAAACCAAGGAGGCTGTGAAGTGCTCGCGTGTAAAAAAAGAAGTCCAAAAGTAGGGGAAACCGTTTCGAGGGAAGATGAACGACTTCGGTTGATGTACCGGCTAGAGAAAGAGCTCGCTTAAGGCGAAACGAAGACGATAGTCAGAATTACACAACCACTCAGATGACAGAAACCATCTTGTAAGGCTCCGTGAGGTTTGGCGGCGCAACGGCAGGGACCGCAATGAGGGCAAGCGTACATGCGGCAGATATTAGAAGCTAGGATCACAGGGAGGAGCTCACTGGCGGGTCTAATGAGAACGGGAAGGCCGCACGAGGGTTTTCGCGTGTTTTCTGCTTCAGTCGCCGCTGGCCGCAGTAACAGTCAGCCTTCTGATTGGCTCTGGAGGGTTCAAGTTATGGCTGTCAGCATGGGAAGTGGAACGGCATGGTCTGAACCGACACACTGGAGGCGAAACGATCACCGTAGCGAAATGAGAGAAAGTCGATTGGATGCCTGAGTCAATGGAAGGTAGAACGTAAGCGTTGAGGAAAGTGGTATTTCATCACATGTGGCGAGTGATGCTGTTTCTAGATTGCCATGGGCCGATGGCGCTGATCATGGACTATCTTACCAAAGCTTAGCGGGTCCCTTGTAGCATGCTTCGGCGGACAAAAAAAGTTAGATTCGGCTTGTATAACGGAAGCCCGAGATCTACCAAGGGATGCTGGCGTATCCCTTGTAACGGTGTGTGTTTGTTTGTAATGATGAAGAAAGTATTCGACCACCCAAGTCGCGCTAGCACTTTGTTCCAAACCCCTTCAGTGCTGCCAGGCCATAAGATTCATGCTTTAGTTCAAGATGGTGAAGTAATCCTACACCACCCAGGGCAATGGGTCCGAAATGCACACAGCTATACTGGCCAATTGACAAGACCACCGGGACGGTGATCAGATGCAGGCTGCATGGACTGAAGCCGCCCAGAGAAGTCCGGTCGCCTAGAGAGCAGGGAGGAGGCGTGGACGCCGCGTGGACGCGTTAGGGCACCACGATAATGACCAGGCATGGAGCCAGCCCAGGGCGCTGACAAGGGACCCGGCAAAAGCATCGTCAGGGCTGTCAAGCTACACGCAAAGCCCATGCAGTCTCGGCGGTGATACTCCCTTGGTAATGCTGCAGTAAGGCGTCAAGACCAGAGCGGAAGAAAGATGGAGCGTGCGGGTATACTGTACGACCTGGAGCCCCGTGAAGGTTTAGCGCCACAGCGACTTGCATGGCGCGAACATGGGCGGCCAAAATGTCAGCAAGCTGGCTTGAAGGCGACAGCAGAAGGACATCTGACAAGGTCGACTGGGCTTGGCCAGCGCTCGGCGGTCCGCTGGGCTGGGTGACCCGCAACCGTTTCCTCAAACATGAGAACGGGTTATGGGGCTGTCAATAACGGAGATGCGGGACTACTCGACTCCTACAGACGTCTTTGCCACACTATCGGCGTGACCGCATCTCGACACGTTCAGAGATCTGCGCGCCACAGCACAGCCACCATGCTTGTGCCTGCGCGGTTATGATCGTCACTCGGCGAGCAGCTTGCCGACACAGCACCTGTCCCGTCTGCAAGGGTGTTTATGGGTTTGTAGAGTATGACGCTGGTGGTGTAAGAATAGACTACTGCAGATCCTGTATTGGAGGGATAAGGGCAGGGTCACGGCGAATTGGCCACACCACTCCTCGCTCTACGCCAGCTTTGCCGTGTCGCTGCTGTTGCATGCAGCCCGTCATATGTGTGCAGGCGTGCGTGCATACTTACTAGTGCTCGAAATGGCATGCGAACACCTTCACAGTCTAGAAACCACACTTGTCCTCTACACTAATATGTAACTAGTGACATGGAAGACACCCGGCTGGGACTCCACCCGGATATTTAAGGTGGCGTTATTTGCATCCGCGTCAAGGGTCCATGGATAAAATTCCAGTCAAATCAGCTTGCAGTGGCCGATACCCACTCTGACACTGCCGTAGAGCCTCTTCGTGTTCACGAACTCGGCTAGATTCTTGCGGGGTCCTCGATACTCTAAGTGGGCAGGGTTCGTCGCAACTTTTCACCTTGTGGAGATGAAGAGTTCCTGTAGGCCCATGTAGCTTTTCCCGATCTATCCGTTCGCAATCATCGCTCCGACTAGCATCGCCATAGTGAGGCAACTGGGGCTGTGGAGGATCTGCTTCCAATGTTGTGCTTCATTCTGCCCAAGCGGGTTCTGCCGGCAAGCGGACTAAGAATACATGCATGTATACGTACATATGTATGTATGTACATATTATGTACACACATACATGGTTCCTGGCGATCTTTCATCATCCCCATACACCTACCTGTCTCTTGCACTTGGTCGGACGCGCTTGTAGTCTTGCCGCTGAACGGGAAACCAGGTATACATCCTCCGTCATACTTGACTGTTAGCACATGCTAGATACCCGCGGAGAATAGCTGATAGGGCACCAGAAATACAAATCACGGCTGCTGAGCTTCGCTCGTCATTTGAATGTTATGCATACCATCGCGATCTGGATATTGGGGCTGACTTTAGGGCGACGGAGTCGGCTATGTGTATTCTACTATATTGCCAATCGGTTTGCATACGCGCAGCTGGCATCAACACGTCGTCAACTGTGTGAGGCGCTATGTTCAGCTCCAAGAGACAGACAGTCCAGTCTCGGATTCCGAGAAGCCTGGGTGACGTATGACTCTTCGTTCGCACGCGCATGAATGCTTTTAGCAGGCTGTAAACGAAAAACATGTACTTTCCAGGCGCAATGTGAAATCGCGGATTTCTCCATGGAGGAATGTGAACCAATAGCAGCGGCGCAGTGACACGCCGAACATTTGCCATCGGCCCTTTGACGACTAGCGCTCGTCCCTGTTGTTGGACCCTACCAAACAAGAGAGCGCGGAGCCTACCCGGCATACCTGCCCATCCCATCCGGCAATTCAATATTCCGACTGCATTCAAGTTCACCGTGCCACGAACTTATTCAAAAACTCCTCGATGTATTGGAAGTAATGAGGCTCCGCAACAGTATCGTTGTGGCTACCATTTGGTAGTTCTCTCCATATTTTTGGGGCTTTGCAAACGTCAAACAATCGCGTCATGTGCGAGGGTCTGTCAAAAAGAGTTAGTTAGAGAGATTTCGTATGGGATAGACTGAAATCCAAAAAAAATCAAGGAGCTGGTGGCTGCTTACGGAATAATTTCGTCCTTGAGACCGCTAAGAAAAAGGATGGGTATCTTTGTAATCTTGGAAATCGTCTCTTCTGTGGGCCATATTTGGTGGCATAGGGGTGCTAGGAAACGAGCAGGAGGAAAGGCGCTGCTTCTGATCAGTGACGTCACCCAATGGGTGGTACCCGACTCACGTTGGTATAAGTTTTCTCATGGAAGTAAAGGTATTTTCCAGGATGATGGCTGCAATGTCGCCTTCTCTTTGGTTCCTAGCAGCTAACCCCACAGCAACAGCGCCGCCAATACTCTGGCCGTAGATTACGATTTTGGTGTCGCGAAGTTCGTGTCGTTGGCGAATGTAGTCGAGTCCAGTCTGTGCATCAATCATGAGCCCCTTTTCATTGGGGTTACCAGATGATAGGCCATAACCGCGATATTGTAACATCAGCACATTGCATCGCAGCTCGTTCTCCAGTATCTTTGCGATGGGAAGACGATAACCTATATTGCCCGCGTTGCCGTGGAACATGAGGATGGTAACGTTGCGCGCATGTTGCCTGTTGGCTCGGATGAGAAAGGCACTTAGTGACTCGCCATCCGGTGTAGGAATAAATAACTCTTCAGAGTCTGTGATGCCAAATTGCGAGGGTCTGGGTACGTTTGTGCGAGCATCCGGGGGAAAGTTTCGCGGATATATGATCTCACTATTGTTGTTAGCCATGCGGACAAAATCGATTGCAGCCATTGCGTACTTTTGCTTGAAGTAGAGGAGGCCGCTCAGCAGGGCAGCGATTCCAGACGATGCAATGAGCGGAACGCGCAGGTAGCCCATGAATGAATCGAGCGCGGAAGCCATGCTGCTAGGGCGGCCTCCAGTATCTGTGGGGCGTGTTGAGGATGTAATGGCAGGCGCCGAGCGGCTTCTTGAGAACAAGGGTTTTGACTGAGGCGGAGATGAAGTCGTAGGCGAGGAAGAGAAGGGAGGAGAAATAGGAGACTCAACCATCCGGAATGCTGGACATGCGAGTGTACAGGGCGTTCCAACGCGCAAGTACAGGAGTGAGTTAGAGTGTCGCATAGTGCGGCTGAACGTTTCAGCCAGTTGCGCAGTGCCAAGACATGGAGCTGCGTAGCTCGGGCTGCCTGGTACACAGCGAGCTGCTCCGACAACATCCACACGCCTTGCCCGCCACTCACCCTTCTACACGCTCTACATACGCCCAGTTCTCGTCCATTGACCCTCGGAAGTCTCTGCCACCCCGAATTGCGATGATGATGACCACCGGCGCGCTGTCAGAAGGTATAGACCCCGCCGCACATGCTCAAGCTACAGTGGAAGCTCACTTTTGCGCAGACGGCATTCATGTCGACATGAACCACCTCAAGAAGGGCGAGGTCAAGTAGGTCATTGCCTCCCTTGATTATGCTTCCAGATTGCTAATTATGCGTGCAGCCTCGGAACATCCATGTATGTCGCTCTCCACTACCTATCGCGCCATCTCTCACATCATGCAGCATGGCCATCAACTTCAAAGACGGTGTCATATTAGCCGCCGACAGCAGGACGACGACTGGAGCGTACATCGCAAACCGAGTCACGGACAAACTCACACAAGTTCACGACACCATCTGGTGCTGCAGATCCGGCTCGGCAGCCGACACACAGGCAGTGGCCGACATTGTCCAATACCACCTGGGCATGTACGGCACCACCAACGACGAGCCCCCGACTATACAGACGGCAGCAGCGCTGTTCCAAGAACTTTGCTACTCCAACAAAGACCAACTCTCGTAAGTGCGCTAAACGCTCACGAAGAACATTTACTGACTGTGCCGCAGTGCCGGACTGATCATTGCCGGATGGGACCACCGCCACGGTGGCCAAGTCTATTCGATCCCCCTCGGAGGCTCCCTTCACAAGCAATCATATGCGATTGGCGGTTCAGGATCAACCTACATCTACGGTTACTGCGACGCAAACTGGAGGGAGAACATGAGTGAGGAGGAAGGTATCAAGTTCGTCAAGGGCGCACTTGCAGAGGCAATCAAGTGGGACGGCAGCTCGGGAGGTGTCATCCGCATGGTTGTGCTCACGGGCAAGGGCGCACAGAGGCATTTGTACCTCCCCGATCAGAACTACGAGGGCCCAGGCAGGCAGTAGAGTCGGGTATGTGAATGCTGGCTGATGCATAGACAAGCATGTATGATATGACACGACCCGACCCGACGATGATGTCGGAACGAGCTACATGAAACAAAAAGGACGCGGATAGCAAAAGTGAAGTGACTATGAGATCAGCAGATGTGAAATACGTAGCAATGTTTGGTTAGACAAGCAGACACAAGACTCTTGGGGATAAGTAGACGTGGGAGCGAGGCGCAGCAAGCAGGTCAATGAGGTTGCAGGATTTGCCCATGGATTGCAGCGCTCCCATTTGCCCCAATTACTCAGAGGAAGACGTGTGGACGTGTGGACGTGTGTCCCAGGATGCACGCCGAGCACGCGCGGGGCATGGCTGCGAAGTCGCAGAGTAGACTAGGCGGGCTATTGCTGGTGAGTTGTTTTCTCGTAGCCCCAGTGTGCGCGATAGGGCTCGTGGTGTCTGTGTGTATGAAGATGCACAGTGTCGTCACATGGGCTTCGGAAGGTGGTGAATTGTAGCCAGGGTCTCCCTCCTCCTGCGAGCCACTCGTTGGTCTGTGACGTCCCGTTCGTTCCCCACGCCTTTCTCGAACAACACTTCGTCGCCCAACACGCCAGGTCTGTATCCTGCGCTGCATCCTCTTCTGCTTCTGCCCCCAACCCGGCGCGTGGCATCCAATTCCCCTCGAGTACGGCAGTCAGAGCAGGCTCGCATGCCCTATTCGCGCCCCCTGAAGCTGCGTCCAAGTTCGGGCTCTTTGCGATAAGGCTCAACAACATTGCACCACCGACACCGCCTTGCCAGCACCCTCTGTCTCCCGGCCCACCCGTTCTGCCATCACAAACACAGTCGCTGTGTCGCATCCCCTCGCATCTCCCCGCCCCCTCAAAGAGTGGTAACTTGGATTGCCCTGCGAACGCGGCATGGGATCGCTTCTGGTGAGCGATTTCGGTGGGAACCACTTTCACACCAACATGTTTGGCGGCGCCAGCTCGCATCAGCAGACACCGGAATCTTCTACCGCTCAGCACACTCCCGTACGGCCCTCGCCTTCACCCAGCGCAAATGCGCCGCGTGTAGGTGCTCCGTCTGCTGATGTTCCCATGGCCGATTCGGGAGCCCCGCAGTCAAGCTCGACACCAAGCCAGCGATCGCAGCAGCACAACAGCTCCCACCTAAGTGCCAGCACAGGCTCCGCACCGTCAGCAGCCCAGGCCCCGGCCAGCCCCTGCTTCCGTCCGCACTCACAGCAATCTACGCCCTCTGGCTCAAACCCCGCCTCGGGCGCCTTCACAAACACAAGAACCATACCTTCAACAGGTCTGGCTCCCGTCCAGCCCTCACCGGCCCAGTCTCTGCGCTCGCCTGCACCATCGCCCAACCGCATCAAGGTCAAGAGCCTCTCTCATATCCAAAGCTTTGCTCTAGACGACTCCAGTCCCTTCTCCCAGTCGCGGTCGCTGGCGCGGCGGCACCGACGAGACCCGGCAGATGTCGGCCCTCAGTACGAGATTAGTGAGATGCCCGTCTCCGACATTATCGAAATGGTGGCGGGCTTGTTGACTAAAATCACAACAACAAATGACCGCCAGCACGACCACCTACACCGTCAAATCCCACCCCCAGAAGGCACATCAGGGCTCAGCCAGCAAACCACCAGCGTTCTTGCCTTCCATGGAAAGAACGTGCCCAGTATCTCCATCCTCAGCTACCTTAGCAGAATCCACAAATACTGCCCCACCACCTACGAAGTCTTTCTAAGTTTGCTTGTCTACTTTGACAGAATGACCGAGAGGGTAAATGCCGGCCCAATATCTGGTCTTCGCAAGGCTAACCAACAGTCTGTGGAACGTTCGAGATCTGCCTTGTCAGCAACTCCAACCAGTACAGATGGTGTACAATCTGAATCTGCTTCGGCTCAAGCCGCAACGCCTCCCCCTTCAGGATCTCTGGGCAAGGTAGCCGGTACTCCAGCTGAAGGTCCTCAGCCACCCTCTCCTCCGCAGCAAGATTTGCATGCAGATACTGCGTTAAACCTCTCGCATTTTTTTGTGGTTGACAGTTTCAACATTCATCGTCTTGTCATTGCTGGCGTGACGTGTGCAAGCAAGTTCTTCTCTGACGTATTCTATACAAACTCAAGATATGCAAAGGTATGTACATGTAAATGCATATGATTGAATTTTTGGCTAACATGGCAAAGGTTGGTGGTCTGCCATTGGTTGAATTGAATCACCTGGAACTGCAATTCCTACTCTTGAACGACTTCCGCCTTGCTGTTCCCTTGGAGGAGATGGAGGCCTATGGAACTATGCTTGTGGAGTTTTATGCACGTGAAGTGGCCGAGCAACACGAGAAAGAGCAAAGTGCCAGACATCAATAGTGCAATCGATATGAAGAAGATATTCTTTATGGCCGAATCAACTATTAGAGAAGTAAATATGGTAGGGAGGAGGAAGGCGGGCATAACAAAACCCCCCGCCAAATGAGTGGCCAGGACACTGCACGCCGAACTAGAGAAGCGCCAGACGACACCAGTCTTGTGCGTCAGACATGCAGTTGACCAACTGCACGCATTGCGTCAACTTTTTGACAACCAGGATCTTTGCATCCTGGTATAATTTGAGTGGAGACGGGCGACCCCAAGTCTCAGTATTCGACTGACTTCTTTTTGAGCCAGTTTGCAGGCGGATGTATCTTGTTAGATGTGCTTAGATTTTGGGATACCAATTGTTTCTTCGTTCAAGAGAAAATATCATGAAATCATAGCAGATGTTTGTTTCCTTGAGATGTGCTATCCTGGTTTCTCTACTTTGATTCCTGTTGACTTGATACCGGGGAGGTGCAATTGGAGGGAGCTGATTGTTTTATATCATTAAATTATTAACGCAAAAAAGCATTGATCCAAAAAGCTTTGTTGCAGCGCGATGCTGGCAGACTTGCCCCATTTCCAACTGTGCGGAAAACCCCCCTGCTAGAAAGTGAGGCTGACCGCCGTTGTTGTCCCACGTCACGTCACCACCCAAAGAATGATGCGACAAATGAGGGGCACTCATGTACACCGTGTCTACGCATGTGCATCCAACATGCGCATTCGCGACGTAAACAAGCCCCCTCCTTCTTCCCCCCTTTCTATCCTAGCTTTCTCCACTACAACACCCTTCTGATACCCGCTTGTCAAGCGATTCTCAGTTCAGGGATTTAAACAAGACCTGGCAAGGTGGTGAGGCTGGGCAAAAAAAAACCCCCAAAAGAAAGGAATAAGGAAAAGGGGGGCCATAACGCCGACCCCCTAGTCTCCTCTCTTCAGCCCCTTGACCTAGGACCTTAGACCTTGGACCCCTAAACAAACCGCCCGCTCCCGCCTAACTTTATTATACCAGATCCTCCCCCCGTCGTATCCGGACCGTCTTTCCACACGTTTTTCTCAGCCTAGTTCTATTCGTATTACATGTACTTACATCTGGTTACACCATTTTGCTTCCCAACACGATGTAACTGGTTTATGTAATCCATCCGCGATGCCAAATCTCGCGCTTCTAACTTGATACATATGTTAAGTACTAACGATTTGGGTGATGAGAGAGAGAGAAAGAGGGAGGCCAACGCTACACCGCCAACGTACCGCCAGAAACGCAGCGCACGCAACTTGGCCACAGCGCACCACGCCATTGAACATCCGCGAGGAGAATTGGGCTGTTTGACCCCACTT